TTCTAACGTCTTTTCAGACCCACGTACAGTGGCCGCTCTCCACGCACCGACGAGCCAAGCTTGGGAGCAATCTTTCGAGTTTGTGTTCGGCGAACTAGGTTTGTCCGTGGATTTAAACTTGTACGGCCGTTTCTGATGACGCAATTCAACCAGAGGATGACCCGAGTATGTATCTGTCTGTGTCTTTGCCATAGCTCAAATGAAGTAATCTTTCGATAGGCCCTGTGTACGTCTTCTTGTCCACTCATTGTGCAAGCCTTGTCTGACCTAACTTTTGACAGTCCCATGAATTTCCTATCCGAATTCGCCACCAATGCAACCGCACACAATATCTCAGTTATATTATACTCCGGCAACGACGATGCGCTTATTGCCCACAGAGGAACAGAAGGTGGGGATTTTTGTTCTTTATGTTTTCAGCAACTCATACGTTCTCCCAGTAACGATTCAAGTTCGTCCTCCTTTGCAGAAATCACCTGCGCAGTACTTACCTTAGCACTAGAACACAACATTCGGCGGCATCCAGGGATTCACCCGCAAGCCATCCACGCCATGGAATGACGACAGCGGAAAGCCCGCAGGTATTATCCATCAAGAGCGTGGCTGGACATACGTCCTCTTTAGCGGCACCGGCCACTTGATCCCAGCTAAGACGCCTGCAGCGGTACGGTGTCCGTCTCTATTAGTATTACGCCTCAACTAAGGGTTTTATTTTCCTTTGTAGGCCTTGACGTTCGTCCGTGAATTTGTATTCGGCACCAACCCCACCGGGTCCGTCCTCAAGACTCCCGCCGGCACGACTATGATCGTCGGCGGCGAAAATTCGCCTCTCGTCGACGATATCCTCCCTGGCTCCAACGGCATCGTATACGATGCCGGAACAGCGACATCGACGTTCGTATACCCCGCAGAAACGATTGCGGCGTGGAACACATTCATCCGCGGACAGACTGGCGCGTTGAAGACATCACAACCTGTGGCCGCAGATGTGAATGGCGCATTTCGAACCATACCTCGCTCGACCATCTTGGCTGGTCTGATGAGTTTGGCGTGTGTATGGCTCCTTTAAATTAAATCTAACTATACTCGTATTATTGGTTCTATTGTGGGCTCTTATTGATAATGTGTACCTGTGTTACGTCTACTTGTAATATAATTTCTTGCAAATTGTATTTGCGAGGCGCGGAAAACGGTGGGCGCCAACGGCACAATGGATCAACATCACGATGGCTCATATTCGAGGGGGGCGGAGAAGAACTGAAGCAGACGGGAGGAGAACTACCTTTGGGGACTTGAATTTTCCCATGCTTTTATATTCAAAATTCAACCATCTCCGTTGCATCTCCGGGTTAGCGGAGTTTGAAATCTGATCAATTATTCATGATTTATTTACGGGACAAGCAGGACGAGCTAAAAGTTAAGCACCCCCAGTACAACTTGAACTTGGATAGTTGACGGCATGAAATTATCGCGCACCATCCGATTTCCTGGGTCCGGCAAACTTTCGATAATTGATTTCGTCGCACTTACTTAACTGCTGCAGTAGAAAGAGCTCTCATTCAGATCAATTGGGGCGGCTCCGTAGAGTTCTCGAAACATACGCGCTTCTAGTCTCTCGTAGACAGAGACTCTATACACATTGTCAACTGTCACACATGCATGCATGCGGACTACATGCGTTGGAAGCATGTGGGATCCGCATGCTTCGGTTTTTGCCCCCAGTGATAGCGAGGCATGATGCCTGACTCACCGACTCACCGCGGCGCCGGTACCATCCCATAGCGAGGCATGATCATGATGCATGAGTCGACTCACCGCGGCGCCGGCACCGACGATATCCTTATATGTACGCCTTATTTCCCTCCCACACTGTGAGACTCGCGTTTGATCCCACAAGCTGTTCATGGAGCTCCAGGAGCTTGTCGACATACCATACATCGCTGACTCCAAAGACCGCCAGCTGGCCTTTGACCTCTACAGTCCACCGTCTACAACGGATGGCTCGATGATTGTATTTGTCCACGGCGGCGCTTGGGGCGCGGACGACAAGTCTGCCCACAAAGTTTGTGCCCGCCAGCTGGCCATCGCTTCCCACTGCCCCATCCTCGTACCCAACTACCGCCTCACCACTAAAGCTAACGGGTTTCGCCATCCCGGCCATGCAGAGGACATCCTCCATTTCTTGGAGTTCCTCACCAGCTGGGACGGAATTCCGGACATCTTTAACCCAGCAGGGCGGGGGATGTATGTCGTGGGTCAGAGCTGCGGCGCGCACATCTTATCCTCGATATTCCTCGACTCGTCTGCCATCTCGCCGACGCTCACCCCGTCCCCGTCGGTGCTCCGGGCCACGAAAGGCATAGCGCTGTCCGAGGGAATATACGACATCGACCTCCTCCTGACGCGCTTCCCCGAGTACCGCGGCTGGTTCATAGCGGCCGCGTTCGAGGACCGGGTTTCCTACGCGGATTTCTCTGCAACACTCCTGCCGTTACGGGAACCAGAGTCCGAGCACGCGAGTCTGCGGTGGTTGGTGATCCACTCTACGGGCGACACGCTCGTCGATCAGCCCCAGAGCGACGCTATGTACGCTCACCTGCGCGCACTGTACGGCGCCGCCGCCGACGCGCACGTCGCGCGCAACATCGACCAGCTCGACGTAGAGCATGACGACGTCCCGGTGGCACCGCTCTTTGCTGAGCTCATCCGTGCGTTTGTAGAGGGTGCACAGTAACTTGGCCTGTTTAAATTTATGCGCTCGCGGCAACTGTGCACGAATCGTGGGTTTCTCACCGAGACTCCGCTCTCCGTAAGTCTTGCTATTTCCCCCATTCTGCGTGAGACGTTAGGCGATCGAGGTGAATAAGAAGAAAACTGAACTTGGAAGAGCGCAGCCAAATCAGTATTTCCGGATTCATTGCGCAAGGCACAGGGATAGAATGTGTACGCAGAGTGAAGACCTAGACTAGGTTAACGTCCACGCAGCTCGGTCCAAGTGATTCTCATAAGTCCAAAATTGGGTGGATCGCAGAAAGGACCACAACTCGAGAATATAATATTCCGCCACCAGACATCTCATCTAGCTACGAGGGATCTTTCTCGATCCACTCCGGTACCTCCGCATGAAAATCGTAGCCAAACTGTCTCTCATTGTTATTTTTTCCTTCAGCCAACCTTGAAACGCCTGCTTCGGTCCATCACGCAAGTGGAACGTGACCCCATTCTTGCGCGGAAGGTCTTGGACGTAAGCGCACCGAGGTTTTCTGAGGGCTGTATACGCGTTGAGGAGACGGGGAGGTCCGCGTAAGTTGTTAAGCTGGTTAAAAGGGCGGCTAAAACTGCGGCGTCTTCGAGCTTGAAGATTCGTTCAGTTCCCAGACGTCATTGAGGCCCACAGGCTCACCGCCATGGCAGCACCTTGCGGGACCAGGTACGTTACGCAATTTATAAACGAACCCCGTGAATTAAGTAGTTCATCAGCAAAAAAAAAATGCGTCTGGCGGCGGTCTGGCGGGTCTGGCGCCATACCCGCCAGACCTTCCAGATCCCCATAATGACGTCTGGCCTGCACGGATGCAGAATGTGAAAAGTGGCGCCAGAATTGATACTGGGGCCAGTTCTTCTGCGGCACTCAGCTCAGATAGTACTCACGTTTAGATCAAAATAATGGTTTAAAACATTCATTAATGGTAAGTACGGGCATACATACGACATCACAGGACATGCAACGCTACACTATGCTACGTAGTACAGGTTACCGTCTTGCTGCTAGCACGTACACAGCACATTTCGATGTCGAGGATGCAAACATCGACACGCACCCCAGCGCTCATATCCCCGGCATCGCGTCTAGACATGCTGACATTGTAGTCAGAAATCAGGAAAGAAGTGGGAATTTGGCACGTACCTGCAACCCGAATAGACCACAACGCCCTACAATATGATCGCACGGAATCTGCTTGAGCTTCGAGGGTCGCCTTGCATATTCTTCAGAACCGGAAAAAAAAAGACAAAGATGGAATGAACGTACCTGTACTTGGCATGTGGCCGGCATATGGGGGTGAGGACGCGGCTATGAATAAACTGTGACGAGATGCTTGAGGCGAAGCTTAGGACAGGAAAAGTTTGCAGATCTTGAGGCGAGGAAGCTTGAGACTGGAGTCTTGAGGCAAGGGACGCTTGAGGAGATCGCTTGAAGGAGGCTTGAAGGCTTGCTGTACTAAGCTTGAGGGCTGAATTGCGGGATGGCACGGTGAAATCTTGCGCGGCTTGTAGAAGGAATCAGATATTCTTGAGGGCAACCCACGTGGTGGTACCCGCGACGCCAGGGACCGCAAGAGCGAATGTGCGATGGTGGGGGGAAGAGAAAGGAATGAGTAGCACTGGGGTTTCTTTCGATGTTCGTATAGATATGAGAAAGCCTCGCCTGAGGTACCGTGAGTTCGAAAGCCGATTCGAGCCCGGCGACATCATTTAGTCCTGCTCTGTAACAGAGCAGGTCGCGCTGAGTTTGGTTAGAGTTTAATACAATAATAGCGATGGCGGACAACTTCATACCTCGCGAGGAGAGGCACCCGCCGCCCGGGCGAGATATCAGCCGACGTGACTTGGGCCCAGTACTCTTCGGACAGGGGAGGAGGGTGAGGTGGGCGATAATTTTCTGACTGGATGTAGGCTATAAGCTGCCCGGTGACCTCTTTGAGGGCGGGAGACAAGGAGGTTCAGTGTTTACACAGCCACTGACATGTCGTTTGTCGTTTGCCGCATCGGGAAATTAAATCACGAAGCATCGGTGGCAGAACCTGGCAGAACTCGGCGTTTTCTACTTTCGGCCATTTTCTGCGCAGTTTTGCAAGAGCTTCAAGTTGGCAGGTGAATGCTGAGGGATGAGCGAGGAAGCAGTGGGGGTTGAGCCAAAGGATAAAGCTTTTTCTTTTCGATGCATGCACTTTACTGGATTACAGGGACATGTGTGCGTCAAAGTGGGGTTACTTTCGTTGTCCACTTTAGTTCAGTGGTAGAATGCCCACGGTCGAAAAGTTTCGGCGGCGGGAGACCGGGGGTTCGATTCCCCTGATGTTGCGACAATTAAGGGGCCGGACGCCCTGGGCTGTGACCTCGCGTCCGCGACGATTCTTCCAGGGCCTGTCCTCTCGGGAATGCTGGGAATGAGAGCCAAATTGGCACTTCTTTTTATGATGTTTCAGCAGGTCCGACCCTTTTGGTTTGAACTTGTATGTTTTCCTCTGCACCTCGAAGCCGTTCACGTTGCAAGTCTGAAGACAACAAGACCATTTTGGCTTGAACTTGCGAGTTTTTTCTGCACCTCTGAGCTGTTCACTTTGCCAAGTCTGGGGGATCGCGCATCGAGAAATAAATAGATGCCAGACCAACAGGTCGCGCAAGCATGTTCAATCGGACATCGATTCCAGAGAGGGATCGGAGAGAGAGATAGATCTCGCGAAAAAAGCAACGCCGCATATAACCGAGAGCGGGCAGAAGTTGGAACAGAAGGTCGTTCCTTTGTGTAAAAGACGTGATTCAAGTTAGGTTTAATCCATACAATTACAACATAAAATACGCAAGTTCTTCACTTCCCCTCCGACACCAGCTTGACCAAATCGACCAATCCTCCTCCGCTGTTCAGCCCCGCCTGGATGAACGCCACATCGTTCAGCGCTCCCAGAGGATCACCAATATCCAGCGTGTCTTTCCCCTTGATGGCGTCGAAGAAACTGGCAAGCTCAGCCTGCACGCCTTTGGTCGGCACATCAATGACCTCCTCCACCTCCTCGGTCGGCTTGTCCTCGACTTTGACCGCACGCTTGATGAGGATCCGCAGCACCCGCCCCGTTCCCTCGACGTTTGCGAAGTTGATTGACATCCAACCTTCCGAGCCTGTAATGACAAACGCGTCCGAAGACGCGACGGATTTGGTGGAAGCGCCGAAAGAGAGCTCCACGATACCGTGGAAGTGGGAGCCTGCCTTTGCAACTGCGTGGATCGTGTCATGCGGCTTTAAATATTCGTGGTTCAGCGAGGCGAAAGCCGAGAGATGGGTCAGAGGCTGAGGAAGCATCGTCCGCAGGGCAGCGATTGTGTGCTGAACGTGGCGTCAATTCCGAACCTAAATATGAGCATACTGTGAACCCGAACGTACCACGCCTCCATCGAGCTAAAAGTTGAACATGAGATTTATTAGTTTGCACGTCCAAAGTCGAGTAAGCTTACCAAAAATCCGCCTTGATACTGCAAGCATCAAGATGATCAATGGCGCACAAGAAAAGTAATCTTGCAACGCACATCGGGAACTGTCCGCCACGGAGTCTTGTACCACTTGTCATCCACATCGACGTAGTTCATGACTATGGCCTTGAAGAAATTGACCTTCCCGATTTTTCCAGTCGCAATAAGTTCACCCGCCCTGCGGAACCCCGGCTCCGCCTCGTAATTCTCAGCGATGCGCCAGACATGATTCTTCTTGTATTTCTCGTTGTACGTGTTGATGAGGCTAATCCCGCCCGCAACGTCGGGCGCGACGGGCTTTTCGCTCAAGACGTGCTTCCCTGCGGCAAGCGCTTTAAGGATGATCGATGGCTGCAGCGTAATTGGGAGGACGACGATGACGGCGGTGATATCGTCTCGCGCGAGGAGCGCATCCAGGTCCATCGCGGAGTCCCCATCGTGGTAGATCGCAGGGGCGGGGCCACCGAGCGCGGCGGCGGCGGCGTCGGAAAACTCGTGCGAGCTCTTCTCCGAGCGGGAGTACACGGCGAGCAGCGGAGGCGCGTCGCTGCCCAGGGCCAACAGTGCCGGAAGATGGGCTATGGCAGTTTGTTCGGCATGGAGAGTCTGGATTAGCCGATCCCTCCCTTACCTTCCTTGGCAAAAATCCCTGCCCCTAGAATCGCGATTCCTGAGGTGGACGGCATTGGTTCAATGGTTGTGCGGAAAGGCCTTCTCCCATGATATGGGTGTGGTGAAAGCGGCGCGGGCGGACCGTCGGCAGATCCACGGATCCACACACTCAATCTTGAGGCTAAACTTTCAAGCATCGAAACGATGATTAAAGCCCTTCCGTGGTGTGTATTAGAGAATACCAGGGATCTAAGTACCGTTGCTAATTATTACACGATTTCCCCTGCAATTAACCTGGCACATGCATATCAGCATCACCGGCGTAAATCTACAGTCTGGGCTTGCCCGAAGAAGATTCCTTAAGCTCTGCGTGCAAGTCGTAAAGGTCCTCCGCCGCGCGCGCAATCTCCTCGCAAAACTGAGCGTTCGGGCTTTCCTTCCGGGAGGTGATCGTGTACTGGAGGCGGTCTGGAAAATATTATAAGTCAATTCCGGCTTGCTTGAAGAGATACGACGAGTGAACGCACCGTCGTAGCCGGTCATGTACGCGACGCCAAACCCATCGGGGACAACCTGCATTTGATTCAACTCCGTTAAGGGACTAGCTTGAAAAAGAAAGAACGCACCTCGCCCCATCCATACACGGGGAAGTGTTTAGAAAAGACGGCAGACGTGCTGAGGACCCAATTGCTCGAGCGGACGAACAGAGGGTCGGCGAACAGCGCGGGGACCTCCTCGCCCGGCTTGAGCAGCTTCTTCAGACCTGACGTATCGATTGAGTTTGGAACAGATCGCAACTGGAGACTTGAGACTCACCGAACATATGGCGGTCGACTCCCTGCCCCATCCCCGCCGCCCTGGCCAACGTCCCATGCGTCTTGACCGCCGCGTCGAACAGCTTCTTCTTCTCCTCCAGCGCAACATCCGGTGCATCCATGGCCGCCACCCACGCGTCCGACTCGGTCGATACGACGCGGATTGCCTCCGTGCGGCCCTTGTAGAACCGTCTCGTCGATGCCGCCTCGTACGTGCCGCCCATCCGCTTCGCGCCCGAGGCCTCCAGCAGCCGCCGATACGCGAGCTGCACGATCATCTGCGCCCATGAGTCGGGCGACACCCCGAAGCGCTTGATCGCGGCCTTGCCGTACTTGGTCAGATGGAACCCGAGCTCCTGGCCCTCGACGAGTTCGAGCGCCGCAGCATTCGCGGCGTCAATAGCCATGACGGTAGCCGGCGAGAGCTGCCAGTCGAGCGGGGTGGGCGTCAGAGGCGTCGCGTCGCGGGCTTCTTCCCCAAGGTCGAAGGCCGAGCTCGCAATGGCGTTGAGGACGTCGTCGCAGAGGCGCACAGTCGGCGTGCCGTCCATGGTGGAGTGCTCGCCCATGAGCCCCGCGAACCCGTTGTCGAATACGATGTACTGCACGGGCTTGTCGACCCAACGATTTTGCAGACCGATGGGGACGCCCTCGGAGACGTCACCGTGCCAGAGGGCGCGGCTGTGGTGTTTGGGTGTTATTGGGGAGGAGGAGTCGAGGCTGATGGTGAATGCGGCGGACTGGATGGCCTGGAGGATGGCGGCGTTGTGAGGGGAGGATGCAAGCTCGGTATAGTCCTGAGAGTGCGTGATCAATATTATTGCTTTTATTTTTGGGCAAGCGGCCGTACCTTTGCCCAGATATCGCGGTTGGAAGCAGAGAGGACACCAACGCCGGGATATTCGCCATCAGAGTTGTCGAGGATGTGCTGAATCTGCCTGCGGTAAAATAAGCACAACTCGGGAACACTCTGTAAAATGAGATGTTTCCAGGCACCCAGAAGCGTAATCTGAAATGTTTAGTTGAGGTAGGAGAATCAATGCGCCTGAAACCAGGCACGGCTTATTGTGAGCCGAAGCAACAAGCTTTGGGCGCGCCCGCCTGAATTCAGTTTCTGGAACGCGCCCGAGACTTATTGTTTCGGCTCATAATAAGCCGATGCTGAAACTTATGGTTTCAGGCGCAGCAATTCTGTTACCGATACTATTCATTTCAGGGTCTGCGGAAATCTCATATTTTCCGGAGTGAACGAACAGGACTCACTTCTCTAGCTCTCTAATGCTCAAGATTCGCCCGTCCTGCGTGGTCTGGACCTTCCACGGGCGATTGTTGCGGAAAACGATGATGTGGCCGCTGTCGCCCGTGTCGCCAGGCTTAGCATACGTGACACTCCAGTCGAGCCCTTCGGGTCCCGGTACGCGACAGCAATCGAACATCCAGCGGTAGGTATCCATGCATATCGGGCCCTCCTTCGTAGCCTCAGGTTCCAAGAGGCCGAGCTTGTACTGCTGTCTGAACTGCATCGTTGCGCGCGCAAGGTAGGCTGCGCGGGCGACCGAAATCGGGGCTTTGGTGGGACGAGGATGTGCATCGAATCCATCTATGCGTGCATGTTATGAGACTTTCCAAGATACGCGTCCAAAACTTACAATAGTACGAGACATTGACAACGACCTAAAGGATGTCAGACGACATTAGCATATGCAGGGGTCCACACACCGAGTCCCTGTATCCCAGATAGCCTGTGTTGTCCCACCATTCCTCCAGCCAGTGTTTGTGGTGCTTAGAACGCTCCAGTAGACGCTGGTGAAGCTCCGGCCCCTTCTCGGTTCCAAATTCGGCAATCTTGGCTTCTGCAGCAGCCAGCTCTGCTTCGGACCACGCCAGAGGCTTCAGCGAGTCTTTGAGACGCGTCAGAGTCGTCCCCAGCTCGGGAACAGGCAGGAGCGGGAGAGAAGCTTGCGCAGCGAAGGTCTTGGTTCCTGGCAGCGGTTCAGGCGCTGCGGCCTTCCATTCTGGCGGCTGAGAGACGGACATTCGCGTCGACATAAAGACGCGACGGTACAGGAGCTGGCGAAGGGGTCGCGAACGAGAAAAACCGAGCATTCCAGTTTCGCTGTTCCGTCTCAGCTGATAAACGGCATGAGCTGGACCGGTTCCCGATTAGGCATTCAACGCCAATAGATAACACGTGAGTTTCTTTTAAATTTAGTCTACGGCTTCTAGGCTCAAGCTTTACATTAGGGATTCGATATTCAAGCCGCGACAATGCGATCAACCTCCGGGGAAATCCCGCGCCAGACTTCCACCATCTCCGACCACACCTTCGCCTGAACAGCCAATCCTTCTTTGGTATCAGTCCATTTGGGAGGTCTGAAAGCGATATAGGATGAAAAGAAACACGCCCAGAA